CTGATGGAAGATGAGTAATAGTGGTTTGAGGCATAATTTCAAGCCATTTATCATTCACCATGGCCCTATCAAGCCTCTTCCAAATCCTAGCCTCCTCAGCTCTTTGGTTGCACCAAGTGAATGGTTGACCATTTTACCCAATGTCAATCAACCCACAAGCCTCAATGACACTAATAAACTCAAAGCTCTTATTCATGTTGTATTCCCTGCTTCCTTGTTTCTCTTGAGTGGAAGTAATAACATTGAAGTCTCCAATAGTGCACCAAGGAAGGTTAATTTCAGAAATTTGCAAGAGTTTATCCCACAAAGACCTCCTGAGTTGATCTTTGCATTTGGCATATACATAAGAAATAATAAATTTCTCTAGGTAATCTGAATGCTTCAGTTCACATGTAGTGTGCTGCTCATCAGTAACAAGAATATTACAGTCCAACTCTCCAGCCCAAAAAAGCCAAATTTTAGCATTGGGATTACTTTGAGCCTTGTCCATATTAAGTTGAATTCTATAACTATTGATTTGAGAACTATCTGCAAAAGGTTCAAGAATTACAATCATGGTAAGATTGTATATTTTCTTGAGAGTTTGAATCCTTTCCAAAGATCCTTGGGTGTTGATACTCCTAGCATTCCAGCAAAGGGTTTTAAGCATCATAAACCTCTGCTTTTAGCTCTAGTATTTGGTCTGCTAATGGTAGTAGATGTGCTGTTGGATATAGTTGTTTGCCTTGTTTCCTTTCTTCCTCTAGGAGATAAATCTTGTTTCCCAGTGATTTCTTGGACCTCTTCTTGATATTCAGTGTGGAATGTGGAGCCAAAGGCCTTAATTAACTGGTTACTGATCTCCTCCTCTTCATCCTCATCATCATCAATGGACTGCGTGTCTTGGTCATATTCATCCTCAGAATTGTTGACCCCATATTCATCAAATTCCTCATCAATCTCATTCTGTCTCTGTTGCCCCTTGTCTGCACCAAATCCTTTTGTTGTCTCTTTTTTATAACATCTCTCCTTTTTTTGCTTAACTTGGCTTGAGATTTATTGTTAGGAGGCTTATCAGGTGGTTCCCCTGGAGCCTTAGTATTCTGTGGAGTCTGCTAATTTATTCCTTTCTTCTCTTGTTGAATACCAGTGATGTGCTTCCCATCAGTACCAGCTTGTAGCTATCCCTGAGGACTAATTTCTGCAACTTGATTTTCCTTGCCTATACTCTGTATATGTTGATCATCTGCATGCTAATTTTTGTCTGGCTTTTCCTGTTTTGAGGGGTAGCAGGGGCTCTATAGTCTCTAAGATGGTCAGTGTATTTCCCCTCATGCAGAACATGAGTCAATTCCCTCTCTTTGGTTACCCCATCCTGCAGGTTAATTGGTTTCTCCTTTATCCCTCCATCCATCCCTCCAGAAACTTCAACAACATTCACAGCAGTCTCCACATGTATAGTATTGGGGTCATGGGGTGTTGGGAGACTTAAGTCAATACCTGTAGTCTTGCTATAATGTCTGACTGCTTCTTGATTTTTCTGAGTATGCTTTTTGTTGTGATGGTTTGTTGATGGTGAATCCTTACCTGATTCATGCTTTGCTTGATCTTCTTGCTCAGCAGGTTTATTATTGGTGTCCTCTCCATCCTTGCCTATGGTAGGTTGTTCTTGCATATCTAAATCACTATAAATGTTATGAGTAGAAATTATGTGAGTCATACCTGTTCGTACTGCTTGTTGTGGGGCTTGGTCCCTGTTTTCCTTATTTTGAGGTGATCTTGGCCTCCATACAGTCTTCGGATTGACCTGGTCCTGATTTTTATGTTGTTTCCTTTTCTGAGTCTGCCACTGGTCATCTTGTTCTTGATATTCCTTTTCCTGCTGTACTTGGGAATTTTCGTTAGACTGGATGTCGGTTTGCTTGCCTTCTCCTATGGTTGGGTTAGTTGTTTTGTCTTGTTTCTCTTGTTCACCTTTTGGCTTACTTTTCTTGTATGCTTCCATCTCTTTCTTTTTTGGTAATCCTCATCCCTTTGCTTGATTGTACATGCCTGTATCATGTGCCCTTGATGTTTACAGTAATTACAATAGTCTTGTATGTTGTCATATTCGATGGCTTGCCACTTTCCTCTAGTCAAATCTTCTTCATCATAACCAAACCAAATATGTTGTTTCTTTTCTTTGGTAAGGTCAATCTGGATTCTTACCCTAGCCAAACTACCTCTTGTTTTTTGGGCTGATGCATTGTCAAGGTAAAGAACCTTCCCAATAGGAGACAAGAGGGCAGTTATGATTTCTTTCTTATAACAATGCCATGGTAACCCTGGTAGGGATACCGATACTGGTACAAATGGGGTTTCCTCTTCAGGTTTGAAGGTGGGAGTCCAGGTTTGGATCCTCATAAGCTGGCCCTCTATGGTCATTTTTTACTTTGTCCAAACAGTAATATAATCCAATTCATTGTCAAGATCAATATAGACATGCCTAGAATTGTAATGATCTATCTTGACTCCTCCAGATAATTGAGTTTGAGTTATGAAACTCTTTCTGATGCTCCATCTTAGGCATTGCATTTCTGAATTTCCCAATAAGGGTGAACCTGCAATCTGTAGCACAATTTGTCATAAAATCCTCCTCCTTAAATATCACAGCCATCTTTCCTTGCTTGGTTGTGACCTTAGGTTTCTCAAACATTACACGAGCAGTATTTTTGGCCTGGTTGTATCTAAGTTTGGCAGCATAGGTTTGAACCACAGTGTATGGAGCAGGTTCTTGAACTACATCCTTGTTAGGTTGTTGTTGCGTGTTATGTTTGTTTGGTTCCTTAGGAAGGAAGTGATCCTGAAACACCTGTTTATTCTGTGGAACATGGGGATTATGTCTAGCAAAATTGTTGGAAATTTGGGGGAACTGACTTTGTTGAGGGGGATGGTTCCTAACATCATTTCCATTGTTGTGCTGAGTATCTGCAGATTCCCTATAACCCTGTTTTGGTCTAATCTCATTGACCTATACCTGTGTCTGATTAACACTTTTCTGGGCAGCACTCATATGCTCAGTTGCATTATGATGCAGCTGAGTCGAGACTTTATCAGTCACAATAACATTTAGTTGGGAATTAGAAGACTTAACAGCCTGCACCTTTCCAAGTTTATGCAGCTCTACAACACTCTATACTTCTTTAACAGTAGACTTATCAGAAAATTTAGAGACCTTACCTGCTTGCATTGCCTCTTCCTGCGATTCTGGGCTTATGATGATCACTTCCCTGGCATTATGTTGGTCTCCTTGTTGTTTGCGCTTGCCCTCCTTGTGTTGTTGTGCACTTGAATTGTTTTGACCTTAGTTTTGAACCTGATCCTGCACTTGAGTATTCTCCTGATTTAGGATGCTAGTAAATCGAGTAGTATTCACGTCCTCCCCTGCACCTTGCACCTTTGATGTATTGCTATCATCCTTCAACTCCAAATTGTCATGTGCATCATCAACTTCGTTTGAATTTGATGGACTGTTTTCCTTCTGATTACTGGGACTTGTAATATCCTTCCCCTGCCAAGTGGAAGAAACATTTATGTTAAAATGTTGTTTAGCATTGACAATTGTTACCTGGAGGTGGTTGTCTTCATCAGTGAGAGTCGTTTGGTGTATCTTTTGGTCCTTTGTGATGACCGGAGCTCGGACATCCTCACCGGAAATTTTCTTGCCGGTGATTCCTTCATTAAAATGGTTAGAAATTTCAGCAAGATGTACTCCCTGTCCTGGGGAAGATTCCCCATTTGTTGAAATCTCATTCAGACCATTAGAACTTGGTCGAATATGAGGGCGCACTTCTGACGATTCCCAGGCGATTCCTTCCAAAATCACTTTAGTAGATCTCTCAATTGGGTCGGTGGAAACATTTGATTTTTGGACTGAACATAGATCATTAGATGTAGATTCAAGATTCCCTTGCATTTTAACTTGAATCATTCCAGATTTTTCCAAGGAAATGATTTTACGAGCCCAGTCCAACTCTTGCTCTGAAATCGCGACATGGATCGCTTCAATTCTTTGCAATTTTGAAGAGTTGTCGGACGATTCTGAGGAGGCGCTTGTGTGGGGTTTGTGCATATTGGAGTTGCACGTCGAATGGGACTAATCCGGTGGCCGGAGCTGCATCCCCGGTGGCTCTATCGCCATTCCATTGAACTGCTACTTCTACCGCCTGTTGAGCGTTATTTTGAGAGCAAATTTTTAGAGAGAGAAAAAAATTGAGAAATGAAGAAGTGATGGGGTTTGGGTTTTAAGGTTTAAGTTTAGGGTTTAGTCTTTAGAGTTTAGAGTTTAGAGTTTAGAGTTTAGGATTTACTGTTTAGGTTTTAGAGTTTGGGATTTATGATTTGTGGTTTAGGGTTTAGGGTTTAGGGTTTTGAGTTTTGGATTTAGGGTTTATGGTTTTGAGTTTAGGATTTAGGGTTGAGGGTTTGCGGTTTATGTTTAGGGTTTAGGTTTAGGGTTAGGTTGTACGATTTAGTGTTTAGGGTTTAGAATTTATGGTTTAGGGTGTTGGGTTTATTGTTTAGGATTTGGAGTTTAATGTTTAGGGTTTAGGGCTTAGGGTTTAGGGATTAGGCTTTAGAGTTTAGGGTTAAAGGTTTATGGTTTAGGGTTTAGGGTTTAGGCTTTAGGCTCTTTTTTTTTATTTATTTATTTGAACGACCCTTGGAGGGGTCAGGGGCTTAGCAACACCCCCAGGCCTTAGCATTAATTAAAAGACAAAATACATAGAGGGGGGCATAAACCTGACCTCCGATCCTATGGTGATTCAGTAGTCGACCTACCTAAGGTTAGTCAACTCTTCCCCGTACAAAGAAAGATAAACCAAAATACTAAGTACCTAAGAGAGGACTCCTCTCTATACAAAGTATCTATGAATTTTAAATAAGGGAGACTCTCCCTATACAATATCAAAACAAACCTATATCTATTCCAAGGAGTTATGCTTTTGAGCCATAGCTAGGTTGGAGAGACTTGAACCATCTCAAGGTGGTTCTTTGATTCGTTTTATTTTCCTTCTTCTGAAGTTGACCATCTCAATCATGTCTAATTGATAATATGCATTAGCTTCTTTTGGTAGTTGTTGACTGTTGCAATATATTTGAGGACTTGTCATTTTGTGGCTATGCTTAGATAAAGAGTCAGCCACATAGTTGGCTTCCCTGAAGATGTGTGTGCATCGGAAATTTTGGGTTTGTTTGATGAGTTCTTGAAGCTGCTGTAGTTGTGTGATAATGCTCCATGGGGGCCTGATTTTCAGCGTGATCCAATCTACCAGCAGCTGTGAATCCACCTCCAAAAAAACATTTCTATAGCCTAATTGAAGAACCCATGTCATGCCAAATATGGCTGCCCCTATTTCAGCTTGGTTGTTGGTGCCTTCCCCCAAAGGTGTAGCAAATGCTAATAACATTTCTCCTTCTTGGTCCCTTAAAATACCACCTGCTCCTGCTCTACCAGTGATGCTCTGTGCACTGCCGTCCGTGTTGATCTTGACCCATCGATCTGTGGGTTTAATCCATTTGACAAGAACCACTTTGGTATCATGTAGACAGTTTTCGCCTAACAGAAACAGCTCGTTCCAATTTGAAGGCCATTTTATTTGGGGGAAAAGTATGCACATTAATTTGTAGTTGTCCTTGTAGATTGCATATTTAACTCGACTAATGTTGGACGATTTGCCTCCATATTTGGTAGCATAACGATTCTTCCAAAGATTCCAACAAATAAATATTGGTGTAGCTTGTAGTAGTAGTTTGTGTGCTTCATTGTTGTACTTAGCTGACCACCATTGCGAGATGAGTTGAATTAAGGATCTGTGATCAGGTACGATTCCAGCCGCAGCAGTAAAGCTCTTCCACACGTAGGTAGCAAAGTGTCCATTGTTGAAGGTGTGTTCTATAGTGTCCAGCCCTGGCCTGTAATAACAACAAAAACAATTGGCAGGCTCGTTGCCAAAGCTGGTCAGTTTTTCGTTAGTAGGAAGTTTACCACGTAAAGTTCTCCATAATAGAAAAAAGGTTTTAAAAGGAATACTCTTGTGCCAAATGAATGTATTAAACATTGTCTTGGTCCTCTTTTCTCTAATCTCATTCCACGCAGAAGAACATGTAAACTTGCCGTCTGTGTTGAGTTTCCAGATGGCTTGGTCAGGGATATCTTGCTGTATATAGAACCTGGTGGCCAGTATGTCAGCGAGGTAATTGCTGGGAGCTAGTCGAGTGAGCATATTCTGGTTCCATTGTCCCCCGACCCAAAATTCTTCTACAGTAATGTTGTTGAATCTATTACTGTTCGAGGAGAACTGAGCAAGAGGTCCAACACCAAGCCAGTTGTCCCACCAAAAGGAGCAGTTGCCTGAGTTTAGTTTCCACAGAATGTGATCTTCAACTTTATGTTTGTTATGCATCAGATGTCGCCACGTTAAGGAATCACCTGTGTCCCATTTCTTGCTAATAGGATTTGATCTTTGACAATATTTAGCCTTCAAAAAATCTCCCCAAAGGGTTTGTTTAGATCTAAAGCACCACCATTGTTTGTATTGGAATGCCTTGCATACATCCTTAAGGTTTCTCATGCCAATACCTCCTTCATCATAGGGAAAACTTAAGTTTTTCCAAGAGGCACAATGATATTTTTTCCTCTCGTTCCTCCATCCCCAGAAGAAGTCAGCCATAATACTTTGAACCTGTTTTAGGACAGTAACAGGAGGGGTCACTGCTGATAAGAGATGGATAGGTAGGGATTGTAACACATGTTTGACCAGGATCGCTCTACCTCCATAGCTCAATAACCTTGTTTGCCAACCTGTAATTCTGCCCAACACTTTGTTAATGAGATCCGAGAAGTAAATGATTCTCGGTCTACCAACAAATAAGGGACAACCAAGATAAGTAAGAGGGCCATCTTTCTATTTGAAACCAGTGATTCTCTTGATCCTATCCCTAGTGTTATTGAAGGCACTAGTATGGACCATGTAGTGGCTTTTGTCACTGTTAATAAGTTGGCCTGAGATCTCTTCGTAGTTCTTCAGGGTTTGCATAACGAGCTTAAGAGTCTTCTGTCTCCCTGAGGTGAAGAGTATAATGTCATCAGCAAAGCTTAAGTGGTTCACTGGAGGACCTCTAGGTTCCATGTAGAAGCCAAAGTAATCTGGGTGGCTGTGAAGTCTGTTGAGGGATCTGGACAGGACCTCTGCACCTAAAATAAATAGGGCCGGGGATAGTGGATCGCCTTATTTGAGACCTCTAGTGGAGTGGAAGAAACCATGCCTTTTGCCATTGACGATGATAGAATACCAATTGTTAGCCATTATTCTCCAAACTATATCAATAAAGACCTCATCAAACCCCATTCTTCTTAGCACCAAACAAATATAGGACCAAGAGACCCTATCATAAGCTTTAGCCATGTCTAATTTAATAATAACATTGCTTCCAATATTAGGTCTCTTGATCTGATGAATGATCTCTTGTGCCAGCATGATGTTTTCAGATATGCTTCTCCCTTTAACAAATCCAGATTGATTGAGAGATACCAACTTAGGAAGAATAGGACTAAGTCTAGAGCTCACTATTTTAGATATGATCTTGCTAGTGAAATCGCTAAGACTGATAGGCCTGAATTCTGTGAGTTTATTGGGGTTACTCACCTTAGGGAGGAGCACAATGCATGAATGAGACATATATTTGGGAATCATTTGACCACAGAAGAAAGCATGGATGACATCAAGGAGGTCATGCTTAATGATATTCCAACATTTTTGAAAGAAATATCCATTCATCCCATCCGGACCAGCTGCAGAGTTAGGATTCATACAGAAGATTACTTCCTTCAACTCTTCCAGATTAGGCATTGTAGTTAGGCTACTATTATGTTCTTGAGTGACTATCCTGGGGATGCACTCCAAGGCCCTCTCATTGATCAGGCTGCTTTCCCCTGTAAATATTTCCTGAAAATGCTCACAGGCTGCTTCAGCAATATTATCGTCGCCTTGTATCCAATCCCCATCGCTCCTGCTAAGTTTGTGAATGAATAATTTTCTTCTTCTTCCCCTTATAAGAGAGTGGAAGTATTTTGTGTTACTATCACCCTCTTTGAACCACTGTAACTGAGTCTTCTGTTTCAAAATGGAATCTTCAACCTTCAAGAATCTGATGTACTCTGCATTGAGTTCATGGAGTTTAGCTCTGTTGGTGTCATTGGGCTCGTGAATTAAGCTCTCCTCTGCAGCTCTGACTTTTTCTTCATACTCTTTGACTTTATTGAAGATGTCCCCAAATTCCTTTCTCGACCAGTGACTAAGGGTGTTAGACAATCTTTTCAATTTCTGATGGAATTTCCACATATTGTTGCCCTCTACAGTCCTTTCCCAGCAGGCCCTTACTATGTCCAGAAATTTAGGTTGATCAGCCCAACAATTAAGGAACTTGAAGTATTTGATATGCTCTTCCTCCCTTACGATCATTTCCATCAGTAGAGGACAGTGATCTGATCCTACAGATGGTAAGTGAGTGATGGTAGTCTGGGGCATTTTTTCCAGCCAAGTATCGGTAACCAGAGCTCTGTCCAGTCTTTTCCAAACTCTCTGAGTTATACCTCTGTTATTGGACCAGGTATATTTCTGTCCATTGAAGCCTAAATCCAGAAGACCACAAGCTTCAATAGTAGCAATGAATTCTAGACTTTTTCTCATATTGTAAGGAACTCCACCTAGCTTTTCTTCAATAGTAGTAATAAGATTATAGTCACCCACGGAGCACCAAGGTTTGTTAGAGTCAGCAGCTTGAAATAGCATTCTGTCCCATAAAGGTCTTCTGAGATGATCTTTACATTTGGCATACATAAATGTAATCTTGAAAGGAGTCTGAAGCTCATTATGGCTAATGTCACAAGTGATTTGTTGTTCATCCTCCTCCAGAGTTACACAATCAATGTCCCTGTCCCAAAAAATCCAAATTTTGCCATTGCAATTACTCCTAGCATATTCCATAGTTAGTTGGTTCTTAAAATCTTGTATGTGAGTAGTGTCTGAGAAAGGTTCGAGAATAGAAATAATAGAGAGTTATGCATCTTCTTGAGCATTTTGAGTCTTTCAATAACGCCTTGGGTGTTGATCCCCTTCACATTCCAAATAATTGTACTAATCATTGGGATGATCTGGGAGTAAATAGTCTGGTGTTTGGTCTGCCAGCAGTGACAGTGTTGATGTCCTGATTTTTGAATTGAAATTTATCATGCTGTATGCCTCTAGGAGATAAGCCTTGTTTATTAGCCACTTGTAGAACTTCGTCTGCATAATTTTTATCAGGATGAGGACTAAAGGCTCTGATCAGTAGTTCACTTGTCTCTTCTTCCTCATCATGATCCTTGAGGGATTGATTATCCACATCAGGTTCATCTTCAGAGTTGTCAACAGCATACTCATCTATTATAGGACCCTTATTCATTTGACAATTTTCAGGCCTTTCATCAGGTGGACATTTATAGGGGGGTGCATATATTGTGTTTGCAAGGGAGTGATGTCCATACCCAGTTGATCATCAACCATAATAAACTTTTTACAGACTGCCCCTTCCTTAGGTTGTTCCTCCTGTTGGTCATTATTTTGTTGTTGTAAGGTCTGTCTCTTTATCGCAGCTTCTCTTTTTTTCTTGCTAGGCTTGTTCTTGCTTTTGGGAGTATTCTCTTGATTACTGGTACTTGCATAAGCCCCCATATCCTTTGCCATGGAACCTTTATTATGTCTACCTGCAGGACTTACTTCCACATGCTATTTTTCCTTGAATATTGCCGTATTACCTTGCTTTCCTTCTTCTGCTTGTTTTTTCTATTGTACCTTCTGCTGGACTGGATTAGGATGCTGGCTTGCAGTGGTAGCAGGAGCTCTAAGGTTTGGGCTAAGGTCAACGTGATTATCCTCATGCAGAACATGAGTCAAATTCCCCCCTTTGGACCCATTTTCCTGCAAATTAGTATGGCTCTCCTGACATCCCCCATCCATCCCTCCTTCAGCTTCAGCAGTATCATTAGAGTAAGAATTATTGGGATTTATGGGAATTGGGAGCATTGAATCAATACCTGTGCTCTTGGCATTTGATTGGTTTCCTGTTTGTTTGGTTTGTGCTCCTTGGTTATGGTCTATCTTAGACCTGCCTTGTGTCCCCTGTGGTATTGCCTTTTCTTTGTTGTTCTGCTCCTGCTTGTCTGTAACCTGTTTCCCCTGCATATTAAGGTTAGTAAAAGAATTATAATTAGAGTTGTTGCTTATACCTTTTTGTTGAGCTGTGTTTTGTGGGTGCTCTTTTGGCCCTTGGTTCTGTGGTGAGGTTGGCCTCCACACTGTCTTCTGAGTTTTCTCCTCTTGCTGTTTATTATTCCTTCTTCTTGGTACTTGCCATTCTTCTTCCTTTTGCTGCCCAGATGGTTGCTTGTTGGTCTCTTCCTTGGTGTGTTGCAGTTGTTGTTCCTCTTGTTCCCTTGGCATAATTTTTCTGTGTTCCTTTCCTTGCTGGCCCTGTTCACCGTTATGTATGTTTTTCATTTCTACTCCTAACTCTTTCCTTCTTTTGAAGTCTTCATCCCTTGTTTTGAAGTTACAATCCCCTATCATGTGACCTTGATGTTTGCAGTAAGCACAGTAGGGAGGGATGTTTTCATACTCAATAGGTTGCCATCTCCCTATAGTGAGATCTTCATCATCCAAACCAATCCAAACATGTCGAGGTCTATCCTTGGTGAGATCTATTTGGACCTTTACTTTGGCCATACTAGCTCTAGTTCGTTTAATGGAAGCTGTATCTAAATATAAGACTTTGCCCACAGACTCTAACAGAGGAGTGATGAATTCTTTCTTGAAACAGTGCCATGGCAGACCTGGTAGCAGTACCCATATAGGGACTATAGGTGTTTCTTCTTTAGGCCTAAAATTGGGAGACCAGGCTTGTATTCTCATGAGTTTGCCCTCTATGGTCATTCTTTGTTGTGTCCATACGGTATTGTAATCCAATTCATTTTCCAAGTCAATGAAAACATGCCTAGCATTATAGTGAGCAATATTTACCCCCCCCCCGTTCAGTTGAGTTTGAAGGATAAAGCTTTTCCGGATGAGCTCTATCTTAGGCATGGTGGTACTGAACTTGCCTATAAGGGTATATTTACAGTCCACAGCTAACTTATTCATGAAATCATCCATATCAAAGATCACAGCAGGTTGGCCCTGTTTAGTAGTGTGTTTAGGAGGGACAAGAGTTATAGTGGGAGTCTGCGTAGCATGGATCTGCCTGAGCCTAGTAGCTAAGGTTTGTACCACAGTGTAGGGGGCAGGAACTACATTCTGGTTCTGATTGGGGTGTTGGTTCTCGTTGGGATTGCTAGGTTCTTTGGGTTGGTTAGACTGATGTATTTGTTGGTTTTGTTGATTGGGATTGGTATGTCTATCAAAATTGCTAGAGAGCTTAGGGAAGTCCTTATTATAGTTACTTGGTTCCGTGTTCCCTCTTTGATCATTTAATTGAGTTACATTTTTATCCCTCATTATATTTTGATGTCGATTACCCTGTTGTTGGGATTCAGTATCTCCCCTGCGTATTTCTTGTTCTTCCCTCATAACCTTTTTTTGCCCATTTGCACTATCAAACACATAGGTATCACTACTACTCAGGTTAACAACATTTTTACTGGAGCTAGATTGGGAGAACTTACCTGCCTGAGTGCTCTCCACACTTAGTTTTTTGCTCAGGGAATTGAGGTTCGTTTGCTGTTGTTCCTGCATAAAATGAGCAGAGTCAAGTTTATGCTTAAGATTCATACCTGGATTTTGCTGCCCTTCATTGCTGGGAATTATTTCCACTGGATTCACTCCAAATGAGAAATGTGATGAATTTTCCACTTCAATGATTTCCACATTCAAAGCATTTGTATTTTCCAGTTGAGCATCTTGGCCCTGCTGTTTCCGTGTATCAACTTGTGTTTCTTCCCTCTCAATTTGTTGTTTCCCTATAACATTGTGATCTTGTTTTTGATCATTAGGCCTTGCTTGAGCATGGGAAGAGGTTTGTTGGTGTTCTTCAATTCTGCAGTTGTGTTCTTCAGGTTCTATTTGTGGATTGGCTGCAGATTTGGTGAAACTCGTTTCAGTGTTAGTCTGGTTGTGATTCTGAGCTAATTTGGTGGATACATTGGTCAGGTGAAGCTCCTCGTCCAACGAGCAGTTGCCTCCGGTGGCGCCAGCGTCACCTTCGATTATTTTTTCGCTGGAGTTCATGTCGCCGGTGATTTGATCGGCCATTTCACTTGAAATTGCTGTGAGATGAACCTCTTCACCCATAGGACAATCCCCAGTGGTCAAATCGCTGTGAAACTGGTGGGAACTTGGACGAATTTGGAGACGCAATTCAGATGGGTTTGCGCCGACTTTCTCAGAAATCGCCTCATTAGATTTCGCGATTGGCGTGATGGAATTATGTGATTTTTGAGTATGGTGTAGCCCTTGATTAGGAGAATCATCCCCACTAAATAGTTTTCGATGAATCAACCTATCGCGATTTGGGGAAATAAGTTTTTGAATCCCGTCCAACTCCCTTTCTGAAATCGCGATGTTCATCGCCTCTGTATTTCGCGATTTCGTGGAGTTGTAGGATGAATTAGACGATGCTTCATGGTGGGTTTTGTTCGTCTCCTCAGAGCGCCACTGATGGCTTTGGTCCGGCGGCCTGAGCAGGTTCACCGGCAGCGCACGCGCCATTCCAATAGGTGAACTAGCCGTTGGACCTGTAGCAGTTGTGCGGATTTTTGTGAGATTCCCGCGTAGAGAGAGAAATTAGAGAGAGAAAAAATTAGAAAATGGGGAAGCGATGGCTTTAGGCTTTAGGGTTTAGGGTTAAGGGTTTAGGAATTAAGGTTTAGGGTTTTGGGTTTAGGTTCTGGGGTTTAGAGTTTGGAGTTGTAAGTTTAGGGTGTGGGTTTAAGGGTTTAGGGTTTTTGATTATGGGTTTAAGGTCTAGGATTTATGGTTTTGGTTTTAGGGTTTAGGGTTTAAGGGTTTGAGTTTATGGGTTTAGGGTCTAGGGTTTTGGGTTTAGGGTTTAGGGTTTAGGGTTATGGTTTAGCGTTTAGACTTTAGGAATTAGGGTTTAGGGTTTAGCATTTAGGGTTTACAGTTTAGGGTTAGGGTTTAGGGTATTGTTTAGGGTTTACGGTTATTGGTTTAGAGTGTAGGGTTTTGAGTTTAGGATTAAGGGTTCACGGCTTACGGTTTAGGGTTTTGGGTTTAGGGTTAAGGGTTTAGGAATTAGGGTTTAGGGTTTTGGGTTTAGGTTTTTGGGTTTAGAGTTTGGAGTTGTAGGGTTAGGGTGTGGGGTTAAGGGTTTAAGGTTTAGGATTTACAGTTTAGGTTTTAGGGTTTTGGGTTTAGGGGTTTGAGTTTATGTGTTTAGGGTCTAGGGTTTTGGGTTTAGGGTTTAGGGTGTAGTGTTTAGAGTTTAGGATTTAGGGTTTAGCGTTTAGGGTTTAAGATTTAGGGTTTAGGAGTTAGGGTTTAGTGTCAAGGGTTTGGGATTTAGGGTTTAGCAGTTAGGGTTTACTTTCAAGGGTTTTGGGTTTAGTATTTAGGGTTTAGTGTTTAGGATTTAGTGTTTTGGATTTAGGGTTTAGGGTTCATGGTTCAGGGTTTATGGTTTAGGGTTTAGGGTTACGAATTAAGGTTTAGAATTTACGATTTATGGTTTAGGCTTTCGGGATTAGGATCTAAAATTTAGGATTTAGGGTTGATGGTTTAGAGTTTGGATTTAAGGTTTAGTGTCTAGGGTTTATGGTTTGTGGTTTAGGATTTAGAGTTTAGGGTTTAGGTTTGGGGTTTGGGGTTTGGGATTTATGTTTTAGGGTATAAGGTTGAGGGTTTAGGGATTAGGGTTTGGGATTTAGAGTTTAGAGTTTAAGGTTTAGGGTTTAGGGTTTAGGGTTTAGGGTTTAGGAGTAAAGGTTTAGGGTTTA